CTTTCCGGAGATATGAATAAAATTTTGTTGTAGATGGCGGTAGTTTTGAAGATATTTCGAACACTGCTTAACATAAGAGATCGATCCGTTTTTTATTACAATCAGAAAAATTAGATTGATTTTTTGTGAAAGTTTCATGCAATCATTTTGAATTTCATCGAGCTCAGAAAATCAACAACAAATCTGTAGTCGACTCGATGATTCATTGCACTGTGGCTACAGAGTAATTGATCGTAAATACAAGAGGAAAGAAAAAAGAAATCTATTGGTTTATCTGCTTCAGTCAATAAGAATGAGAGAAAGCAAGGTGGCGTACGCTTCAAAAATTGTGCGAGCGATTACATAAAGCATATTGATTCAGATAAATATTAAAACATGTTTGAAGAAAAAAACTTTCACAAAAAAAAAGAAAAAAGCATGTTAAGAAATAAATATGTCTAGAACGAATGGTATAGGTGTGAGTCTTTTCACAAACACTCGCATCACATCAGCACCAGCACTGACATCCCTATCTCTCTTTTCTTTGCGTTCCAAATATATTTATTTCTCAACACTTTTTTTGAGAATTTTTTTTTTTCAAATAAATATATATTTATATTTATCTCAATTAATATGCTTTTCCTAGATAAAGTACTGAAGTCAGGGTACCCATATACTGGAAAAGTCTCAGCAAGGTACCCAACGTAGGTACTTTAAAAATTCTCAGTGATCACACTGATGCATGTACTTTCTCAGGTATCCGTATCAGTATTTGTGCCGAGCAAATACTTGTATGAGTACCCACATAGGTAAATTTACTGAGGCAAACTCAGCTAGGTACCACCATTTCCTATTTTCTCTGTTAACGCACTGGGACAACGCATTAATGAACTAAAGCAAAAATTGGATTTAGTGGTGGAACCAGGATTTCGGTCTAGGGGGAGCTGAGCTCCATCTTAATTGTCCAAAGTCTGTTTACAACAGTAAAAGATTTTTTTTGAAAACTTTCAAGCTGGAGGCGGTTCTTTGCGTCCTAATATCCTATTTAATCACTTTTTGTTCTTGCTCATGTATTTTTTTATATATCTATCAACATATGATCAGATTATATTTCTAATTTATTTCATATAACTTAACCGCATTAACACAATCCTACTATTTTTATGTTTTATGGCGAATACATTGACAACTTTTTCAAAGTCTCTTTCTATAGCCAATACACTAAGAACCCCAGGTCTCTCATCACCCATCGAGTTTCGAGCATAATTTTTAATCAATTTCATTTTTAAAAACGATCTTTCAAATCCGACGGATGATACAGGAAATGTGGCAGCGCCTTTGATCAAAGCAACATGGTGTGGGGTGTGGGTGTGAGTGTCTTATCTTCATACACACCCACACCCACCCACAGCCACACCCCACACCCTTTTCAAATGAATTATTTTTGAAAATGGACAACGTATGATAAATAAAAATAAGACAAAAAAGATTTGATTTATTTATTTTATATAGATTTACAAGTTATCTTCAATTGTTATTTGTATTTACTTTTGTTTTAAGTGAGATATTGTTTTCTTTTTTTGATTTTTCAAAAGAATATGTTTTTGATTCATTGACCATTTAAGGTACAACAACATGGTTACTTCTTGATAATACATCTTATATTGAAACAATTGGCTTTCTAGCCGTATTTTTCAAAGCTTTATTAGGTACACCACAATTTATGCGTAATTTTCGATTAAAATCAACTGAAGGAATAAGTGTAAAAATGACGAATATGACTTTTTTTTTGTTATTTTAAAGATTCTTATGTGGACATCAGGTGATATATTTAAAACTGTTTATTTTTTTTTACGAAATGCTCCAAAATAATTTTGGCTTAGTGGAATATTACAAATTAGTATTGATATAGCTATACTTTGTCAAGTTGTTTTTTATTCTGAAAAATATTAGATTTCGTAGACGTTAAAAAAAACAAAAAAAAAATAATAACTATAAAAAATCTTTTATTTGCGTTGTTTTTTTTTGTTTTGGAAACAATCTCATTTAAAGACATGAGATACAAAACTAAGAACATTAACAATGTATGGTTCTTAATTCTGTCGTACTCAAATAGGTCGGCTTAGATGAATTTCGATTCAGGTTTAGCAGTATGTATTTTTAATAAAACGTAATGCTCAATAGGACGACATAGTATTGGGCCGTCTACTTTGATCCCATTAGATGTGATGTAGACTTTCGAGATAATTATTACTGGAATGTTTAATGAAAATGTATACCGCAGAGCACTATGGAATGTGCTAAATATTCATTGAAATAAGGCTTTTTATTAGAACTAATGAGAGGAATTTGGATTCAATCTGAAAAATCTTTGGATCAAAACTCTAACCGCCACATAGATCAAGAATGAATTGATGTTTAAAAAAACCGATTAACATTCTGCAAACGAAATTCTTTTGCCTTCTAAAGTCAGTACTCGTCCAATTAGGATAAGTAGAAGTATTATAAACTTCTGTTATTTATTGATTACAATTCAATAGGGAATGACTTTTGAAAACGAAAAATTTTTCTTATAGAAAAATATACGTTTTTTAGAGTGCATCTATCTTTTTTATTGAATAGAAATTACAGCATTACATTATTTATTATTTTCTTTATATGAAAATAATTTTTTAAATATTCTGAATATAAAATTTTGAATCAATTACATATTTATCTTTATTACAGGTGAGATTTTTGTTGATTTCATTTTATAATAGCAAATGTCCTAAATATTGATATAACAAAAGTAAAAAAATGAAATATAGACATGTATTTAATCCAGATATATATGTAAAAAGAAAAAGAAAAGCTTATCTATATCTTATCTATTTTATTGTTTAATTGTGCTCAGACGATTTAAATGAACTATTAAAATAATATTATTGAAGATGAAAAATACCGTCATTGTTTCATCACCAGATAAATTAATTATTGGTGGTGAACATGCTATTGTTTATGGTTGCCGAGCTTTGGTTACGAGTATTGGTATGCGTTTATATATACAATTAACAAAAGAAAAACAAGTACAAGACAATGAAATTCCTACATAAATATTAAAAATAACATTTTATGACACAAAGCGAGTTTATTTTATTGATTTACTAAATATATGTTTATCATATCCAATTGAAGTTGAAGCTATACTTTATGTTTATAATCATTTTAAATCTTTTATATCTAATCAAAGTCAATTGAATATACAAATACCTTCTGAAATTCATATTGGTGTTGGACTTGGTTCAAGTCCAGCATTTAGTGTTTGTCTTGTTGGTTGTTTTTATCTTCTTTATTATAAAAAATTGAATCAAGAAGATATTAATGAAGTGTTATATAAAGTTGAATGTATGTTTCATGGAACACCATCTAGTATTGATAATTCAATAAGTGCATACGGACAATCACTTGTTTATAGTCAAACATTAAATAAACATATTAATTTTCATTTATCAAATTTAACTATTATTGATACAAGTATACCGAAGTCAACAAAAAAGAATGATTGATTTAGTACGTTTATTTGTTGAAAATAATCAAAAAGATGGAGAAAAAATTTTAAATAATATTGAATTATCTGTTGATACAATGATTGAACATCCAGAACAAATTAATCAATTATTTCAACAAAATCAACAATTACTTAAGCGTTTAGATGTATCAACATTAGAAATTGATAATATTATATAAATATTAACTGATAAAAATATTTCAGCAAAAATTACAGGTGCTGGTGGTGGAGATTGTCTTATTGCATTAACATCTGATTTTACAAAAGATCAAATTTTAGATTTATTAAAAGATAATCATATTAAATCAATTTATTTTGTTGAATATAGTGTTGAAGGTTTACGAGAAGAGCAAACATTTAAAATCTTGTTTATTTTTTTTGTTTTTATTATAAAAAATATTTGTTATTTTATGTGCATGACTCGGAAATCAATTTAAGAGAAAAGGGTGTGGGTCGGTGTGTGTGTGTCGATGTGGATGTGATTATATGTCAAGAGAAGATATACACACCCACACCTGCAAAACATTTTAAATAGAGTTGCATTCTCTTTTCAACAGGAACTATATTTGAGACAGATAGTTATATTGGCAAAAAAATGCATTGGACATAAATTCTATTCGTTTTGATTAATGCAGAAAAACTTGCCAAGAATTTTCATTGAAGTTAAGTTAGTGAACGGTATTATTAATTATTTTGTGGAACTCACGTATATTTTTGAAGAAAATGGGGAATGTAAGTTTAAATCAAGATTTTTACGGCTCCTTTTTGTCTAGGCTCTAGCAACTGGAAAGATTGCATCAATAATAACAGTGTTGAGATAAATATTGTAGATTTTGAAATTTAATGTAGAGAAAAGATTGTATTGATTGACGTCAATCAGTAGGGTAGTAGCATTATTGATCTAAGACAGTCCGAATAGGATGGATGTAGAAAAGTATGAACTAACTGAATTTTAAGTTGAGACTAAACTCAACAATATATATTACAATTCGTTAAGAGAAAGAAAGATTGGTGTGTTCGAAAACTTATTAAAAGATTAAATTAATATGTATTGCAGGCTTCTATGGTGACTGAACTAACGAAACGAAGAATAAAATGATATTTGTCGTTTCCTATGGTATGTATCTTATATATTTCGAAATGATGAAATTTGAGAGCACGTATATCAACTATAAAAATAGTTATAATTTTGGGTTATTCGTTTATTGAACATTCATTTCAAATAATATAATTGCAACTCTTCTGACAATATGCCATAAATTTATAATTGTTATCGATTGTTGACTTTCACATTTTGACTCCTCACGAAGCTGCGCTGACAAGTTTCATATTAATCTGAATGAATAAGATAGGTTCTAGGAAGAATTACACAAGTTCAAAAAAATTCCAATAATCGATAGATAACTATCTATAAGTTATCTTAACAAATTTGATTGAATTATGTTCTTGTCAAATGACATATCCAAATGAGCAAGATGTAACATACATAATAGTATTTACATTTATGAAATAGATTCGATCAATGTTTTGACCCAGCAAGTGATTTACAAACGATAGTTTACATATTATTGTTTAAAAGAATCGATCCAGATCAATCCATACTAAAGAAATACTTTAATAACAACTAAAACTTGTTCTTCAATTTTTTTTTTCTTTGAAGATATAGACATATTGCAAAGTCAACAATAAATATGTCGATATATATGATTGTACACTAAGCTGATCATCCTACATCCAATAAGTAACAGGTGTTACATTCAATGTGTTATGCATCAACGCACTCTATACAAATACATAAGATATAGATTATAGCACTACTGTGTCATTCGTCAAAGCCATTGAAAGTTAGTGTAACACCTAAAACATTCATTGAATATTATTATTGTTTTGTTTTTGTCATTTATTCAGTTTCTTTCTATATCTTTCTCGCCGACATAAGTTGTCTATTCATTTGAAAAATTTATTTTATGGCAATCGATTCCGAAAAACAAGTTTCTTCATCAGATTCAACAATAATTCGTATTGTTGATAACATAAAAAAAAGTGAATATGATCCATGGGATTATCGTGGCTTAGAACTTTCAAATGAAATGCTTATTGTACTTATAAGTCATCCAAATATTGATAAAGCTGCTGTTGCACTCGATGTTTCAATTGGTAGTTTAGCTAATCCACGAGATGTTCCTGGTATTGCACATTTTCTTGAACATATGCTATTTATGGGTAGTACGAAAGTAGATCTTTGTTTGCATTCATCAATATTTAAAATTGTTCTGTGTATTTGTCTGTTTTTTTTTTGTTGTTGCAAGTATCCAGGTGAAAATGAATATAAAAAACTCATAGAAGGTAATGGTGGTTCCTCAAATGCATTTACTTGTAGTGATCATACCAATTATTATTTTGATATTAATCCAAGTTTATTACCAGATGCACTTGATATGTAAGTTGTATTCTTTGTTTTCTTTTTGTTAATGAAATGAATGAATATTTTTTCTTTGATTTAGTTTTGCTCAATTTTTTATTTCACCATTACTTGCTGCATCATCTACTGATCGTGAATTAGAAGCAGTCAATTCTGAATATGAGGGAAATTTATTTAAAGATGTACGACGTATAACTCAATTAGAAAAATCCACATCAGATTCAGAACATCCATATTCAGAATTTCCTAGTGGCAATACAGAATCATTAAGAACAACACCTAAACAACGTGGAATTGATATTCGAGAAGTACTTCTAGATTTTTATAAAGCTCAATATTCATCAAATCGAATGAGTTTAGCTGTTCTTGGCAATCGTATGTTATTAGGCTTTTTTTTTGACAAAAAACTGTGTCGAATAAGATGACCATGCTTCGTTTGAAAAGTCAATTATAGAGCTTTGTAGAACAACTCGTGACGCATCAAATGATATGTAGGAAATTGAATCTTCATCAAGTTTTAGTGTTCTGAAAAGTCATATACCAATTTAAGAATATTATAGCAATTGAGGACAGTATGATCAAATATTAATATTCACTATGTATCCAAACCAACCTATATAAAAGTTTGCTTGAAGTGAATTCAATGGAATTTTGTTTGCTCTCCACTCGTGTACATCTAATAGTACTCTCACAATAGCTTTCTTCGTCTTCAAAACCTTAGTATTTTTACTATTTTCTGTAATTTTTAGCTTTTATGATATTTTCAATTCTTCGACACTGGTGTTGAGGACAGAGGCGACTAACCGTGCAACTTTCTTAGAAATTGTGTACCACCAAAGCATAAATATACCAATCGATTGTTCTCTGAATTCAAGTGCGTCATTGTCAAATCGGCCAAGCAATGCCTAGAGAAGATCAATTTTTCGATTCCTAAGAACAGAACAGTATATAAGTTTGGGGATAAATATTTTGTGAATGTAAAAGGTTCTATCTATTAATAATTAAGTTCATCATGTTCTGTCATTTGATTTATATTGATCTTTCGCAAATGGCAAAAACATTTCTCGCTTTCGATCTCCAGGAAAGAAATACGAAAACCGACTATTACAAAGATTAGTTTTTATTTTACTTTTGTTTTATTATTAATAGATAGAAACTTTTTCATTCAAAAAATATTTATCTCGAAACTTTTATGGTTTTCTGTCCTTAGAAATCGAAAAATTGGCCTTTTTAAGGCATTAATTAGCCGATTTGATCATGACGTACAACAATTCAGAAGACAATCAATCACTACAGTTGGTCGCCTCTGTTCTCAGAACTAAATGTATATCGTGAGAAACTAGATAAAACTCTATTGAATTAACTTTAAAAAATATTTTATATAGATTAATCTCTTAACTGGTATTTGATTTTTCAGACCACTAAAACTTGATGAAGATGCCATTTTTTATATACCATTTGATGTAGCATGAGTTGCTCTACAAGATGGTATAAGTGATTTTTCAAATGACGGATGATCATCTTATCTGACGGGATACTTTAAATAAAAAGTCTTTTTTTTTTGTTTAGAATCACTTGATGAACTTCAATCGCTTGTCATTAACAGTTTTAAAGATGTATCAAATAAAAAATTACAAATACCAAAATATGCACCTGATCCATATGGTGAAAAGAATCGAAAAGTTTGTTTTTATTAAATAAATTTTGTTTGAAAATTTAATTTTTTTTCCTACAGACAATTTGTTATGTTGTTCCTGTCAAAGAAAGTCGTCGTTTAATAATAAAATGGGTTATACCTGATCATCAAGAATTATATTATTGTAATGTAAGTATTGGTCATTTAACCATGTTATCTTAATCTTTATATGTTGAAGAATATCTCGATTTCATTCAGCCTGAATCATATCTATCACATTTGATTGGACATGAAGGTGATGGTTCACTATTGTCATATTTAAAACAATTGGGTCTTGCTATTGAATTGTCATCTGCTGATAGAAATTCTGGACTTGGATTACCTGGATTTAATTTTTTTACTATTAATTTGGAATTAACTATCGAAGGATTAAGTAAATAAAATAAAAAAAAATTGTTAATTATAAAAAAATTCTTTATTTGTTTTTGAAATTAGATCGATGGGAACAAGTTATTTATATTGTTTATCAATATTTAGCTATGTTACGTAAAGAAGGACCAAAAGAATGGATTTTTAATGAATGCAAAGTAATATATAGATTTAAAATTTGAAAAACAAAAGGTATTCTTTTTTTTTTAATATTTAGAATTTAAATGAAATGCATTTTCAATTTCGTGAAAAAGAACGTCCGGCTAAATTTGTTTCAAATTTAGCTCTTCGAATAAGGGTATTTCTATTGAATTTATTATTCATACTTATTTTTATCGGCATCTTAAATGAATATTGAGAAAGATTAATTTTAATCATTGTGAATATTTACAAAAAAATATCTACATCAGATCGATCTAAATGTTATTTTTTCAAAAGATATTTACTGTTGTTTCTATTATTATTCATTGATAATTAACTGAACAATGATAGTTCTAGATGACATTTTTTTTTTGAAAATTTTTATTATAAAAGATGAGCTGAAAGCTTTTATTTCGATTAAAGTCATTTGTTAGCCTAGTTGTAATTATCAGTGTCCGACTCGGATCGGATCGAGTCACAAAAAAAGTGACCCATATCGGACACTGGTAATTACCAATACGAACCGTTATTAGAAAGAAATCGAAGATTAAATCATATATGTTGATTTTTTTCGAGAAGAGGGCTGACAATCTTCTAATCTTTGGGAAATACTGTTTTCTTTCGCAAAGTTGATGAAAAATTCCCATTTCATTTCTCGAGATTCTTCTTAATGTATACACAAATCATTCAAAAAGTTCTTGATTTGGTTTTCATTTATAAAATAGCAAGAATTGTGCGTTGCATTAGTACGATTCTTAGTACATAATTCATACAGTTAAGTATCAATAGAGATTATAAGATCTGCTAAA